TTTTTTTTTTTTTAAATAAGGTTGCAAAAAGTGGTTCAAACGAATGCTTATTTAGAAATAGGCTTAGAAAAGATTTGATAATTTGCCCAGGGATGCACTGTAAGTGGCGGAGACAGGGGACCTGACGAAAGCTCTCCTTGACTTTTAGCCCCCTCTCTGAAGGTAGTAGTAACAGTCACGTAATTGAGTTTTACAAAGGCTAATGTGTCAGCAGGGGATAAGATAGATTAAGTTATTACCAAATTAAACAGTGAATTGAATTCCACATCAGAGAAAGCAAAGACTTCCTCAGCATAGTTAAGGCTAGAATTTTAAGTAAAATACTTAGCCTTTCTGCCGCTCATACTCCTCACTCTCTGAACGCCTGCATATGAAAATACTCATATAGTGTAGTAATAGTATTCCTGTTTCGTCCAGTAGTTTGAGCCCTTCTTCAGAATGTATTTCATTTCATTTGGACCTGATTCTGTATCTTGAACAAATTTTGGGAGGTGTGTGCCTCTTGGGATCATGAGACTTGAGGTCGGCTGGTCAAATGCTTTTATAAGAAATATATAGTGTGTTATATGTTTATATCCTAGAAGGAAGACTTGTCATTATTTTGTCCAAGTTCTATTGGTAGAATAATTAATTTTGTGACTTTTTTATTTTAATCATTTCCCTTTTGACATATGATGCCTTTAAAGAATGCCGAGTTCCTTTTTGCCTTGGACTTAAATTGACCTGAGTTGATATTAAAATTTAAATTTAAATGATTACTATCTGATACCAGGCTTTTAGGTCACACATTTTTTTCTTCAAAAGATTAGAATATTACAGAACATGGGAGCAGAAATTTAGCGGAATTCAATGTGAACTGTAGAGCTCAGGGAGAATTCCACATATGTCCGTAGGTCTCCTGCTAACCACACCTTTATTGGTGGAGAGAGGTACTGCCCTTCATGCATGACGGACTCTGCCGTTCATTAACTCAGAATTGAAAGTCTGTAATTATGAGAAGCAGTAACACACAGTATGTTTTTATTTGTATAAAGTCCGATAGATCTACCTTGGGTAATAAAGTAGTTTCCTTTAACATTTCCTTTAACAATAATGTCAAATACTCCTATCTGTGAACTATTGGCAGTTACCAGGAACCTTTTATCCTTATTGACAGTGGAGCTGAGGAGGTAGAGCTAATGGTTACATTTCTAAAACTACTTTTCAGTTTCTTAAAATGCCAGCATGTTTGCCAACATTAAAAAAAAAAAAAAAAAATCAGGAAGTATCGTGAACAGGAAATACAGATGTGCAAAGAATTGATACTTAATTGAGAAATATACCTGAGCTCAGTGGATTGATACTGAAGTGAATAAATAGGGGGATAAAGAAGTTTTTGGGTGCATTTCTGTGCCCAAATACGTATAGTGACAACCTTCTTAAACCTACTTACTTCCCATTCAGTGACCCGGATTAAGAATTATTCCCTAAGGTTAAACTAATCTAGTAATGAATGATCTGATTCAAAACAAACTGAGAAATACCCAGAAGTCCACAAATGACGGGATCAAAATTAAAAGGGATCCTGGCAAAATCCTGCAGAATGCCTGATCTGAGGGAGAGATAGAAGGCAGGGGAAGCTTTATGTGAAGAACAACAGAGAACAGAGGGGAAAATGAAGAAGGGTCAGTCCTGCCTCTGCCTCATGGATAACGTGAGTGAACTTGTGAAATGTGCCAGTGCAGTTTTAGGCTGCATCGACCAAAGTGTAGTATCTAAGTCAAAATAAGACGCTGAGTCTGTGCAGGTCAGATTTGAGACTGTTGTATTGTGTTCCATGTGTCATGTTTTAGGAATGATCACATATCAACGTGTCTTAGTGTACGTCTCAGACCCTGAGACAAGGATTCAAATGCAAGGAGTTTGTTCAGGAAATGGAGGAAACACTGGTAAGGAAGGAGGAAGTAGGGAAGTGAGGTAGGGGAGGGAAGGCAGCCAATACCATTATTAAGCCATCTACTATGTTGGGTGGGTCATTAGAGCTTTTTCCGCCAGGGAAACTTGGGAAATAGTAACGAACGTACAGAATTATCTGACCCAGAAGGAAAGGAAACTGGACATTTAAATGCCAACCCCCCTATCATTGGTTGAGGGCTGCTCCAGGGAGGTTAGTTTCCTAGCACTTGCGGTCTGATACACGTGTGGCCAGAGCAGAGAAGTTCTCAGGCACCGAAATTCAGACACATGCAATTGGAAGTTGGCTAGAGAACACTGAAAAATCCAAAGGTGCTAGTGGGGCACTGACACCATCTGCTACAGAAAACCACATCCTTTGAAATACAGTTTTAAATTCATTGAGCATGTGTCGCTTGGAGATAAAGAGTTGATAATGGCCTTTTCCCATGTTTGAAGGGCTGTCCTGCTAAGAAGCAAGCAGACTCACCAACTTACTGTATATAATAAATAAGAACTAAAATCAGTATGTGCGAGTGACAGGATGTCATTGAACAATTTGTAATTCCCAGTCTCCCATTATGTCGAAGTACTAGAGGTGTTTCTTATTAAAAGCCTACATGATGTTTCTAACAGGGATGTTTTTCTTTGGCTTTGTCAGGGAAAAGCTGAACTCCAACTCTTAACATTCTGTGATAAGCTTAGGTCAGAATTCTGTTTTGTTTTGGTATACTTGAAATTTGAGCCCTGTTCCATTTAGACTTTCTTTGGTATTTGAATATCCTCTGTTCTATGGTTGAATAGTAAGTAAGATATATTCTGGTTTGCTTGGGGGCAGTCTGGTTGGAGTCTCTTGTCCTAGCATGATTATTAATAGTGACTACATTCACTCTTTTTTTTTTTAATATTTATTTATTTTTTAGAGTTAGAGAGAGAGAGCGAGAGCACACATGCACGCACAAGCGGGGGAGGGGCAGAGAGAGAGAGGGAAACAGAATCTGAAGCAGGCTCCAGGCTCTGAGCTGTCAGCGCAGAGCCCGACGCGGGGCTCGAACCCACTGTGAGATCATGACCTGAGCGGAAGTTGGATGCTTGACCAACTGAGCCACCCAAGCACCCCTGATTTCCTCTTAAAGGTGTCTCATTTTGGATGGTAAATAGGTCACCCTCCTAATTTTAATCTGAAGAGAAAAAGATGTTTTTGTTCATCTCTTTAAAAGCAAAAATAAATAAATAAAATAAAAAGTCATTAGAAGTATTTTGTTAGACTTTGAGGATTAAATCGTTTTCAAAGTAATCGCTATCCAGACTAAATGCTTGTTCAGAAGGATGTAGGTTTTAGTATATACAGCTTTTTAATTTATCTGAATTCTTAATGCATGTAGCTAACTAAACATAGCCATGTTCCTTTCATTTCATAATTATTTTCTTGTATTCTCTTAAATAGAAGGCAGACGGTAACAAGCACTCCTTGCTGGATCGAACTTCATCTGAATGGGCCTCTGCAGTGGTTGGACAAAGTGTTAACTCAGATGGGATCCCCTTCAGTGCGTTGTTCAAGCATGTCCTAAAGCTTCGGCACCAGTCAAGCGCCATCAAAAGACTTAATGTAACAACTCTTCTGTCATAGTATTTGTGTGTGGTCCCCACGGACTGTTTACTGTCCAAAAATTCCAGAGAGAAAACAGCACTTGAGGCCTCGTCAATTAAAGCACCTTGTGGAATCGGTTTCCTATATTCGAATATTAGATGGGAAAATTAGTGTCTAGAAATACCCTCCCATAAAGGAGAAAGAGAAGATTTTAAAGACTTGACTGATGTCTTGTTGGGCATAAAACTGAGTGTCCCAAAGGTTTATTAATAACAGTAGTAGTTATGTGTACAGGTAATGTATCATGATCCAGTATCACAGTATTGTGCTGTTTATATACATTTTTAGTTTGCAGAAATTAGGTGTGTGTGTGCTGCTTCTTGATTTAGGCAAGCCTTTATAAAGTTACAGTACCTAATCTGTTATTCCCACTTCTCCGTTATTTTTGTGTGTCTTTTTTAATATATAATATATATCAAGATTTTCAAATTATCATTTAGAAGCAGATTTCCCTTGTAGAAAAACTAATTTTTCTGCCTTTTACCAAAAATAAACTCTTGGGGGAAGAAAAGTGGATTAACTTTTGAAATCCTTGACCTTAATGTGTTCAGTGGGTCTTAAACAGTCATTTTTTTTGTGTTACTTACTGCTAAATCTCACTGTAACGAAACTTTGCAGAAAATCTTTCCAGACCTCTTCTCCGTTCCCGCTTTTGCCCTGATACCAAAACTGTGTAGCATGACATCCATCACTAAAATGGTGGCACTGATACTGCCAGCACCAGTTAATTCTGGGGCACAGTGCGAATTCATATGGAATAAACCCCTCCGTCTTGCAGCGAATTTCAACAGATAGTAATTGACTTGCGTAACCAAGCAGTCTGGTGATTTATCCTTGCACCTCATAAAAACGCAAATGGCAGTATAATTGTTTTCAGGGATATGCTACAATTATTTCACTGTATTTATCCTTTTTTTTTTTTTTTTTTTTAAAGCCAGTCTCTAGATACAAACACTCTTTTTTAAAAGCTATTTTACAATACTTCAGTAGCGGACCTAGGGCTCTTTGAGTTTCGTGTGATTTAGTTACCAGGTTGTATTATGAAATGGACCTTTTTGTAAATGTAATTGCTCCTGCACAATACCCACAAAAGTGATGCTGAGGTATGATCAGCAGATAAGGGCCATTTGTTTTTAAAGTATGTTGTATTAAATTTATAAAGTGTTATTTTACCTAATTGTGAATTGAGAATTTTAAAAATTGGGGGAGAAGCAGTTTAGCAAGCTTTTTTAGCTTATAATTACCTACAGTCGGAGGTGTTCTTAACTAATCCTGAAAATGTGGTTGACTATTATACCCGCTGACATTTTATGCTCTGCCATGAGAGGAGGTTCCAGACGCTCTGTTTGTAGTCCATGCAGCAGCAGATAATCCTTATGTCTAATGTTAAGTCTGCAGTTTAAACAGTTCTTGTTTGCATCTCTTTAGAAGTGGGAAACAGCCACTCCTGACCCCCTTCTAGTAAATTTTCATATTTTTGAAGATAGACGCCTTTGGTACTTGTTCTTTGAAACCATATTTAGCTGTCTCTGTAGGTATCCTTTTCAGGGCTCTCAGTATTTGATTGTTTTCTATTAGATATTCCCCCATTTTCCTGTATTTGTGTGTACATGTATGTGTTCATGTAAACCTGGTATGGTAATTTTTTATTCTTTCAACGAATACTTACTGTTCACCTGTTACGTGTGCCAGGAACTTTCTTTGCCTTGGGTAAAGGTGAACAAGACAAATCTGGTCCCTGCCTTGGCTGAGACATCAGTTACTGTGACCCTTAATGAGCTTATGTGTCTATGAAGGAGATAAACAGGGTACTGTGGTAGAGCATGGCAGGGAAGGCTTCTCTAAGGAAGTGATGCTCGAGCTGACATTTGATGTGAGAAGGGAGTAAGCCATGGCGGGGAGCCAGGGAGATCGGCCTTCCTGGCCAAGAGAACGACGTCAAATGCAAAGGCTCATTTTGAAGGAAACTCACTATTGAGTATTAATGCTTATGTAGAAGTCTCTGCACAGATCCAAACTCGAGGATCAGAAGGGTTCTGTAATTTCTAAGAGTTGAGGGTGGCCTTACTTTGTGATAGATGGCTTCGTGTGTTCAGGTATGACCACTGTCAGGCCGGCTGGAGATAACCCAGACCAGCCTCTGCCCCTTTGGAAGAGTTGAGCTTACTTGAGAACTTGGGGTGATGTTGGGGAGCAGTTCCAGGGACAGAGAACAACCTTGAAAGTGGTAGAAGGTCCTGGTAATCAGCTACTCTTGCGCCGATGTTTCAAGTGGAGCAGTGCCAGCTCTAGCGTCTCAGGAGTGATGGCATCTCTACAACCGTGTTGGGATTCTTCTCTGCAACATGAAACTGAGACTCAGCTCTTTGGAAATATCTGTAGTACTGGGACCTTGCACCTGTCGGGCAGTTGACTCTGTTGGTGTTCGATGACTTTACTTGCTTTTTAAGGAGATGCTGTGTTTACATTCTGTTTTGTCTGCTGCAGCCTAATTTTTGTTGGTTCCCTGCCCCCCCCACCCTCATTGGGGTTGTTTTCATTCTTCTGAGTGATAAGTTCTCCTGTCTGTTGAATTTTGTCTTTATTTAAGTTAGCAACATTATTTAGAATTCCCCCTCCACAGCGCCGGTAATTTTCTCTGTTTCACATGAGAACTGAGTGAACATATTTTCTGTCACATTTCTAAGATGAATGGTGGTTTGCACAGCAGAGTCCATAGAGAGACGTCGTAGGGAATCAGAGGCTGGTGATGTTCCCACTGACTTTGGTTTAACCAGTGGCAGCTTCATTTTTATCCTATAATGGAGTTCTATTATAGATTTCTTTTTAAAAAAGAGTTTTACCGCTTTAAAAAAAAAGTTGAAAAGTCTGTGTAAGCACTGTTTAGGATTAGAACACATGACTGGACTTCGGCCCACTTTTTTGGAACAACCCTACCTGTGTTCTTTTCTCCTGCTTCAGGGAACCTTCCTGATTTGGTTTGAGCTACGCCAGTTATACTAATTATACAGTATGCTATCCATTCATTCCGTGAACATTTACTGATGTCTGCTCTTTATCCAGCCACGGTGGAAGGTGCTCAGTAATGAAAAGATGACTGGGATTTAGTCCTGGCCCTCAAGCTGTGGAGTTACTCCTTTTCTCGGGACCTGCCACTTTGCCAGAAGGAAAACTGCCTAATTTTTCTCAAAAGCTAAATATTCGTATTCTGTACTCTTAATTCTGTATCCCAAGTATATAATTGCAAATTGTTTAATACCTAGTTTGTTTGTTTAACTTTAAACCATATCCAACTTTGCTTGATTCTTCTGCCTTTAAATGTGTCCGATTTTCTCCTTTGTTAAAATTACTTTAATTTCAGTTTATTTGTGCCTTTTAGGTCAGTTTTAATGAAGACTAAGACACTGAAGGTGAAGAACAATCAGTCTGGTCTCTTGCTAATTGAAATCAAGGAAAGGATTATATATACCCAGTTGGTTTCTCTACCTCTTCCAAAAGATGTCCAAATACACCTTTAAGATCTGTCTTCCCGCCGCCCCCCCCCCCCAAAAATGCTTTTGAGCATTTATTCAGTAATCAGCACCCTCCCCAGTCTGGTTGATGGTGAGTTATAAAGTAACACAAGAGAATGTTCACTTTGCTTAAAATTTGCCTTTATGTCCACTTGCTTTCATGGCTATACATGATAATTTCACAGACTACCTACCCCCTTCCACACCATCTCCTCTGTCTCTGTAGATAACTAGGTAGTCTGTGGACATAAGCAACATGTGATCTTTTCTCTTACTCTGATCCAACTCACCAGTGTTCAGACGTGACAAATTTTTGACCAGTTTCTTTCCTTCATGAGCTTTACTCTGCTAAATTCTTGATAATTCATCAACTGAATTGTATCCTTCCTCCCTTTCTCATGACAGAACGTATCCCTAGTGGTCTTGCTGGCTGCCCTCTTGCCAACCATGTTTTATCTGCAGACATCAGAATGTTTCTCTCCATTGACCTTTACTAAAGACCAAAAACGATGGTGCTTTTCATACCCAGGGTCCTAATTCACCATGAAGGTTGATGTTGTTCCAATTGGTCAATCACTTAAATCTTAACAGATGGCTGAGAAATTCTCTCCAGTTAAATGTCTTTGTGACTAGTAAATAGCATGAATTACAGATTCTATTTTAAATTATGTTTAGGATTAGGAACTTTTCCAGCAGTTGCAACCAATGATTTTCCTCTAATACCAGCCCATTTCCACCTTGGAGCGTATTGGGTTGTTGTTAGTACGATCAAGAGTAATGACGATAGTGAGTGGTCTCTAGAGGTGGTCAGAATCCTACTGTTGAGTTCCTTTTATGTCTTTTCAAGCTTTCATGAATACTTTATGTGTTCAGACTACCTTTTATGTGGGGATTGAGGGACAGATCATCTCTTGGAGTGGAATTCCTGTATTTGGAGCCTCAACCAGGAAACGTCAGCTATACTAGATATAGATAGACAGCCTCATGATAGACTTTATGGTAAGAACTTGTCTAATTTCTTGAATAATTTCTTGTAATTTTTTGAATAGGAACGGTTTTATCTTGGATATTATAGCTAACTTTATATATAGCATAACTGCCTTAAATCTTTTTAGTAGGAAATAAATTCTATTGTGTGTGTGTATGGATTTATAGATACATACACACTCCTAGGAAAACCTTAACAGTAGGGGTCATTTATCTGCTTACATTTTAGCATCACGGAGTAATTCTGTTGTTTAAATCTCAGATCTCACTGAGAGTTCCTTAATTTGCTTGCAGACATTTTCTTTTCAGACCTTCGGAGTAATTTATTTATTCTGCCAAAGTCCTGATTGGCAGTTCGGTTAGTATGCCATTTTTAGGCAGCTTGATAATGAAGAATCATAACTGGAATTCTTTAACATCAAGTAAAACTACGATAGACACCCATTGATTAAATTATTATACGTCCAGTGGTCTCTGGAAGGTACTAGAGTAGGGTTAACTTTTTTTAAGTGTCAGATTGCCATCCCCTGTTTTCATCTTAGCTTAAGATTGCTGAGCTCCTTAAGATACCTGGGAGGTAGCACTACCAAGTTAAGTTCTCCTGTAGTTAAGGGCAGCCTGAAGGTGGTTCAGACCTGACTTTCTTAGCTGTGCTCAACAGAAATGGATTTTCCAAAGTTCTTTGGGTCATCTCTGATTCACAGACTCCTGACCAGAGTGTGTTAGCCTAAGTTAACTTCAGTGTCCATTGGTTTGCTGCCATGAGATCTGTAATTGACCACACATTTCAAGCACTGGTGGAGACAGAAGGGCCCTTGGAAGAATAATGCTGCTGTTGATGGGAGTGAGAAGGATTCGTTAGCACCACACAAAGGACGTATAGATTTTTCTCCAAAAAAAATC